TTGCTTCTACATCCACTCAAGCATTCTTACAAAGATGTGAGGGTGTCCATGTGCAATCTTGCAGGCAGAGATTCAGTTATGTGTGACTAACATTCGCTGAGCACGTCACAGGAATCCCCAAACACATCGTGTGCATACCCCGCCTAGATTTCGCCTCTTAAACGCTTCTCCCAGCAGTTGCTCGCAATCTGCAGGGCTCAAAATCCCGTCATGAGCACGTGTGCCAGCGGGTGAATTAGGCAAGAAGAGTTTGAGAATCTCAAAACATTGGCATGTGGATATGTGTGAAGTAGAAAGAAATCAAGGAAAAAGATCCAAAAAATCCAATGACTAGATGTTTACATTTTCTTATAACAAGAAAAAAAATTATGCAAGGGTGTTGTGGGTGGTTTCCAGAGTTCTAGGTAGTTGCTCGGGTGTTCTGGTTGGTTTCTAGGTGGTTGCTTACTGGCCAAGTCTGCCCTGAAGTCTCTATGATATTCTGCTCCCCAGATATAGTTTGGGTTCTTCCTTAAGTGTAAGTCTGCACGATTCTTCCACCCATTGTATCTAAGAAAAGTAATATAATTTATAATAAGGGTGGGGGAAACAGAGTTAGAGAATGTTGAGAGCTAACAGATAGCGGTAAGCGCTTCACCTCACCACAGGATTAGATGCTGCCTACCGGCTTATGTTCTAAATAAAGGCCTTAATATGCTTTCTGAAATTAGCTTTCTCCGGGGTGTGCATGTAATTTGGTGCTGAAGTCGTGTCATAGTTCTGCTTAGCATACCTGAAAATACTCACAGTGAAGTGACACGAGACGTCTGTTTTTTTTCCAGGAATATGAATCATCTGTGACATGTAGGAGGTTAAGAACTTTAGTTTGAGTACAACATGTTTTTAGGAACATGCAATTTGCACGTGCTACCATTAAAGATTGTCCCCCTCTCATGCAGATACATAGGACTTCCTTCCTGGATATAAAAGTATGACCTGGCCATTTGCAACTGATCAAATATACAGACCGGCCCATGTCAAGCAAGATGATGTTAAGTTCTCTGTTCAAAGACACAATCATAATCAATGGTTATCTCAGTGTTACTCCCCAGGACCTTGGGAACAAATTCTCAATGCTTTGGCTATGAGCTCATATCCTCCTGGGCTACCACAACATGCAAAGTGTGAATCTATCACTTCAAACAACTAAATCTATGAAAATAAATATTATTATCGTTTCACATTTCAGAGCATTTGGATAACACAGAACTTCCATGGTTTAGGAAAACATTAAATAATAAATCACCTAAAATTAAAAAGGTCATTTTCTTACTCTCATGTCATTCCAAGCTTTTTATACTTTATTTATTTATAAATTTTTTGCCTTTTTTTTAGAGACAGGAAAGTAGAAGTGAGATAGGGGGAATAGGATAGGGATTTGAATCAAGTCAGACTCAAATCAGGGTCCCCATGAGCTGACAGCTTTGAGATGACCAGAGTTGTGACCTCAATGCACTTTCTCATCACATGACTTGACTTTTAAGGCCATGTGACCTCATAAATCCTAAAACACTAGCGTTAGAGAACAATAGAATGTTGCTTCTGGAATCTATAAGCTCAACATTTGCTGTGTATTATTATCTATCCATCTCAGGTACATTAAACAAAACTCCAGAATGCTCTACAGTATACTGTCTATATGCAGATACGTTCTAAGACAGCATCCTAACCATCGTGGAACGGTTCATGAGTGATTGACATGCAATGCTCTACACTTTAATTGAACAATATGCATTTTCATCCATTCATTGGCTACATAGTTGCAATAACCAATAATTGAGGTAGGACTCACTGGTCATGCAGTAGTCATTAGTAGACTCTCAGAGCTTTGGAATCAGTCTACAACAGTTCGTACTGTTTAAACTAAAGGTTGTGACCTCAATGCACTTTCTCATCACATGACTTGACTTTTAAGGCCATGTGACCTCATAAATCCTAAAACACTAGCGTTAGAGAACAATAGAATGTTGCTTCTGGAATCTATAAGCTCAACATTTGCTGTGTATTATTATCTATCCATCTCAGGTACATTAAACAAAACTCCAGAGTGCTCAACTGCCCTCACAGTATACTGTCTATATGCAGATACCTTCTAAGACAGCATCCTAACCATCGTGGAACGGTTCATGAGTGATTGACATGCAATGCTCTACACTTTAATTGAACAATATGCATTTTCATCCATTCATTGGCTACATAGTTGCAATAACATTTTAGTTAAAAAATTTAACTTTATTAAAAAATGCTTTATTAAAAAAAACTTTATTGTACATAAATAGGATAAGCAAAACAATTGTGATTATTACTGGGGAACTTTTATACAAATACTTAACTGCAGACACGGAAATGACACACTATGTGGTACAAATATTTTGAGCATCCCTTTTTCTGTCCCTTATTTTCCTATAAAGAGTCACAATTGTCCCTTATTTGTCTTTTCTGAAGTTGGCAACCCTTTAAAAGTAGATTAATAATAACAAAAGTAGTACAGTTTAATTAGACCAACACTCCTTTTAAGCACTGAATAGAATACATTATTTACAATCAAAATTTCTCTTGACTTTCATACTTTAGCTGCATACTGTTTGGAACAGTTTTTGGTTGGAAGTACATCTATGATGCCTTAAAACGCTGCTTAGCTAAACAGAGCTACAGTAGTGTGTATTCTTTTATATTCCAACTGCCTCACTGGCATTTCTAGCACTTAAAATACTTTAATTTACGACCATACAGGCTGACTTGACCCTGTTCTTCCAACCCTTTCATTCAAAGTTAAATGGCAATGATGCAACGGTAAGCTTAGAGAATGTTGCGAGTGACTGATTACTCAACCACACCGGACCTGCACAGCACTTCTTATTTGTCAGGAGAGTGTTTGGAGAATGTTTCACTTCCCACTCATCAAGTGACACCAAAAGGAAAGGAAACGAAACAGGAAAATGTTTTAAGGGCCGCATGCAATCATAGACACACACGTTCTAATGTGCTGTGACTGTTACTAATACAAGAGCATTACTAATACACAAATGTACTAATACCCTTTTAAGCACTGAATAGAATACATTATTTACAATCAAAATTTCTCTTGACTTTCATACTTTAGCTGCATACTGTTTGGAACAGTTTTTGGTTGGAAGTACATCTATGATGCCTTAAAACGCTGCTTAGCTAAACAGTGCTACAGTAGTGTGTATTCGTTTATATTCCAACTGCCTCACTGACATTTCTAGCACTTAAAATACTTTAATTTACGACCATACAGGCTGACTTGACCCTGTTCTTCCAACCCTTTCATTCAAAGTTAAATGGCAATGATGGAACGGTAAGCTTAGAGAATGTTTCGAGTGACTGATTACTCAACCACACCGGACCTGCACAGCACTTCTTATTTGTCAGGAGAGTGTTTGGAGAATGTTTCACTTCCCACTCATCAAGTGACACCAAAAGGAAAGGAAACGAAACAGGAAAATGTTTTAAGGGCCGCATGCAATCATAGACACACACGTTCTAATGTGCTGTGACTGTTACTAATACAAGAGCATTACTAATACACAAATGTACTAATACTACTACTAATATAAGAATACATTTCATGCAATGCTCTACACTTTAATTGAACAATATGCATTTTCATCCATTCATTGGCTACATAGTTGCAATAACATTTTAGTTAAAAAATTTAACTTTATTAAAAAATGCTTTATTAAAAAAAACTTTATTGTACATAAATAGGATAAGCAAAACAATAATTTACGACCATACAGGCTGACTTGACCCTGTTCTTCCAACCCTTTCATTCAAAGTTAAATGGCAATGATGCAACGGTAAGCTTAGAGAATGTTTCGAGTGACTGATTACTCAACCACACCGGACCTGCACAGCACTTCTTATTTGTCAGGAGAGTGTTTGGAGAATGTTTCACTTCCCACTCATCAAGTGACACCAAAAGGAAAGGAAACGAAACAGGAAAATGTTTTAAGGGCCGCATGCAATCATAGATACACACGTCCTAATGTGCTGTGACTGTTACTAATAAAAGAACATTACTAATACACAAATGTTACTAATACTATTACTAATATAAGAACACATTATCTAATGAGATCCAGTATCTCTTTCACCGTGGCACATACTGCATCTTTATGAAATCATGTCAATGAAATCAAGCAAATGTTTAAGTAACTTGAGCAATCAAAACCAGCAGATGTAAAGCTAAACAAAATACCAAATTTGGACTATTTTCTCCATATTTAGAGAAATGTCTGTTTAAGCAGTTTTGGTATATATTTAAGAGTGTGTAACCTGTTACATGACCAACAAATCCAAATACTACAAATACTGTATCAAGTTAGGAATCACTTTATAATAAGTAAAAACAACAAACATTAATGTGCTATATTATGCTTATTCACAAACAGCTTGTCTGATGGACCCAGAAATCTGAATACTCTTTGCATGATGTCATAATCTGTCCTGTTACAAATACGAATAATGTGAATTAAAACTGCTTTATTTACTGATTGAAGCTGTCTGGAACATTTCTGTTTTGGTGTCCAGTAAATTGTCACAAAGCAATCAGTGATATTTGGGTTTCTAAAGGGCAAGTGCTGATGATTACTGTATACTATATTTGCACTTGAGTTGAATATGATAAAGTGAAGGAAAAGCTGCAAATTATGTGAGTATTTAAACATTGCAGTGAGACACATTATAAAACTGCTTACACACAAACAGCCTGTGAACAGAACCTGTACTGATGTTTGAAGGGGCCAATTTATTGTGGAAATGATTTCAAAACTCAACAAAGCCCATGGCATATAACTTCAAAAGCCCATCTCCTGTCATTTTGACACATATAACATCAGAAAGCCTAAATAAGCATGATGCATTATATTCAAGAGAGTTTTGCAACTAGAATGAGGAGAAAGGAAGCGTGTAAGCAGGTGAGCAGTGGCACTCACCGCAGGCACGAGTAGCTTGTTAACCTCCTCCACTGCACGCTTGAGCTTGATCTCAGCCCGGTTCTGGGCGTCCTCCACCGTGATGAGCACATGGAGGTCTTCATTCAGATGCTCCCAGTTGGGTTTACCTCGGTTTTGTTCCTCCTGCACAGAGAGAGAAATGTTTTAGATGCACTACTGCTATACAAAATGTTGACTGCTACAATCAAGGATGTCTATAAAAAAAAGCAAAGAACGGGTCTAAATAATATAGACACTTCATGCACTCAGCTGTCTCAGCTTTCCTTATGTACCGGAGGAGGAAGGACTCCGATGTTGGATGACAAAATAACCTTAAAATAAAATTCATACAATAGACAGCAGTGCATAGTAGGAGTGCATAGTATAGTGCATCGTTTGGGACACAAACCTTGACCTTTTGGCTACAATGTACATGTTTTAACAGAGTTCACCAGAAATATGATATGATGTGTTTGATATGAGGTTCAAGCAAGATGTTGGGACTTGTCTTAGCTCCCACTCTTTCTGTGGGGTTTGATACTTATATAATACCCAAGTGCAACTGCAAATCTAATAAAAACACAGACTACAACAGAGAGGATGTAAAAGTAAAAATAAAACGGAGAAGCTGTTTCTTTGATCTGCTGTGTGCTACTAAAGCAGAAGTCAGGATGCCGTGTATATGTCATACTGTGAGACACAGCTCTATAAAAGAGACCTCGTAAAATTCATACAGTCTCAAGGCAGGCAGTGACAAAAGCTTCACAGCTAGCGGAGAGAAGCAACAATAGCATGAGCAACAAATCAAAACTAGATCACTGCTGAAGTGAGTCAGAGCTAAGCAGCACTCAAAGCTGATATAATTTTTTTTTAAATATGCTTTTAACTCAGATTAATATACAGAGTCAACTATAAGTAAGCCATTCCTATGTTGAGAAATGTAAACATTGTGAGGCGGTTTCAAAACATTGCTCTGTTTGTTTAAGAATCTAGACTAGAAGCACACAGCAACAGCAGCTCAACCAATGGAGTGAGTTTGGGGCGTGGCTATCTGTTCTGTCAGACCAATGGCAGACGGGGAGCAGCAGAAGCGTTTGTGAAACCTGTTTGGAAACATTAGTAAGGCCAGTAAGAGATCACCAAGAAAACGAACACCCCAGCAACTGCATAATAATGCTTTGGAAACTCCAAAGCATTGTGGTGGCAAATTTGCATAGGCAAATACCACTCACATTTTCTTCAGAAAATATTAAAATCAAGTTATTTTTGCAGTTCTGTTTGGTGCAGCTAGTGAAACGGAAATATAGGGGCTTTAAAAACTAAATTATATGACAGGAAACCATGAAAACTTTGGATTAAAATGCTCTGTAGATTGCTGAGGGCAAACAGCTTAATTGATAGAAACCCAGAGCACATTAAGTTGAAGGGGCTTGTTATACTTCGCCTACACCACCGCTTTTGTTTGTCTGCATTTGGCTTGTTTTGCTGTTTTTCTCGTCTTCCTGAAGGATTTCCAAATGAAAAATCAAGATCTGATTTATGCATTAATCAGATATGCAAACACTTTTCGTTTTTTCTCCCCGTGACTGCAAATGGGAAATTGATGGCAATCAGCGTTGGCGTCTGTGTTCCCGCGCTCTGCCTGCTGATTTTCATTAAGGATCCATTGTTGCCCCTTTCGGTGTAAAGCGAGGAAGGGTGGAAACAGCATTGCATATCGCCAAACACACTCAATATGATTTATCATTCAGGATGGTGGTGCCCGGGTGTTATGAGGTCACTTCCCTTTTCTCTCTGTTCGCCCCTTTGGTTTCGCTTGGCTGATTTACTTGGCTTTCCTTGGTTGTGACAAGTGCTAAAAATTGATCTTCTGAGGCTGACTGTCACAGCGCAGCAACCCAACCACAGCCACGCTGTCAATAAGACAAAAAAAAAAAAAGCCGTCCAGAGACAGCCAGGAGGGACCGGAGTAGAGGTGGCGTGTATATGCGTGTATGTGTCAGACTGTCTGAGGGTAATATACAGCTAAGACATTTGTTTTTCCCGCGGTCCAGGCAGGTTGTCTCGCATCAGGACGCGGCTGTTCCTTCCGCGGCCCTGCAGGGCGGCCGGTGACAGGCTGGTAGTCAAGGTGACGCGCCTTCAACGGTCAACGCAGGAAATATGTCCAACTGTGGGGCCCTCCACTAGGCCTTTGTTTACACCTCTTTCCCCTCGTGCACGTCTCTGAGCTGCCCGTGTGGTAGCCGAGCAGTAGCGCAATCAATGTCCATAAATCCATTGTCCTGCTCTTTTGCAATCCTTACCGAGGCAATAATGCTGCTCTGAAGGAGCGCCGACTCCACATTGGAAAGCTCTGGGAACTAATATCACGACTCGACCGGGAGAGGACGAAGGCACACGCAGGGGGGAGTGTAATGAGACAAGAGCTTGTTCTTCAACATGCTCACCAATATATTTCACCACAGTGACCATGTTTACATACACAACATTTTCAGATTAAGGTCTATATTCTGGTTCAGCCTTTAAAGGGATAGAAAAAAAGGGGTGAAAATTAAGTCATCATTTACTCACCCTTGTGTTGTTCTAATGCTGTATGCCCTTCTTTCTTTTTCAGACCACATAAGGAGAAATTTAAAGGAATGCCTCACTTGAACTTGTTCATATAATGGCAGTGAATAGCAACCGGCATCAAGAATTTATTTTTTTTGGGTGAACTATCCCTTTTAAGGTGAGGTCAATTTAACACAATTTTGTGGTTTGGCAATGTATGAAGCACAGCTCAAACAAAAGTCAATTTTAAACCAAGCAGCTTTCTGTTGGACAAAGTGGTGAATTTGTGTGACCCACTTGAAAACCAATGAAAAATCTCCATGGGAAATCTTTCAAACTCACATGACAATCCCAATAATGTGGAATCCTACTTAACTGAAATCCAATGACTGGATTTTACCCACAAAATTCCACCAAATAACAGTATAAATGACTATACCTTTATTCCGAAAAAGCTGTTTTGGAATATTCAAGTATGCATGTGATCATTACAAACAAACATATCAAACAAACACAATCAGCATGCATGAAGCAACATGCATTAGTCACAAGAGCAAGCAAACAGCTGGAAAGAACATATAATGCCAAACATATAGGCGTATGGTCGCATTATATGTTCTTTCCATCTGTTTGCTTACTCTTGTGACTTATTTCAATTCAGTTTTAGTAGTACAGTGATTTACATCACAGTAGTTCACAGTAATTTAATCAACTCATTAATTCTCATTCATGTCTTTGACAACAGCACACAAAAATGCAATGAATTGTAAAATGTAGGTCATAAGACTCTTGCAGTGCTTTCAGCTGTCTGTATATTGATTTATGTTGTTTTCTTTAAAGGCTGAAATGTGTCATTTTAATGCTAAAACAAAATGTTAAACATCCTCGTATTCCAGCTTAATGCGTAGAGACAGCTATAAGTAAACCATTTTCAGTTTGATTTTCATAAAAAGTGTAACACTGTGACTCATCATAACATTGCTTTGTTTTGTCTGACATACTGTAGCAACGCTAGCTCAACCAATGGTGTGTTATCGGTTTTTCTGACCAATTGCAGATGCAATTGCAAAACAATTTAGCTTTAATGTTTGTAAAAAGCTCCAAAAATGTTTCTTCTATAACTTTTTCACAAACATCTTGTAGCAATTAGCATTACTTTCGTGTTTAGATGACAAATAATTCAGATTAATACTAGTATATGACAGCTCTTATTCAGATTTCTAAAAACCAGAATATTTGTATAATTGGATTATGAAAGTCAAGTTAAAGGGGTCATATGATGCTGCTAAAAAGAACATTATTTTGTGTATTTGGTGTAATGAAATGTGTTTATGTGGTTTAAAGTTAAAAAAACACATTATTTTCCACATACTGTACATTATTGTTTCTCCTCTATGCCCCGCCTTTTTGAAACGCGTCGATTTTTACAAAAC